TTCGCTGTTTTAACTTCACGGAGAGTTTAGGTATCTTCACATATTATAAATAATGTTTAAAATCTTACCACAAAAACAGTATTATTAACCTGAGAATAATTTTTGTATTATAAAACAGCAAAACAAGTGTAATTTGCAGTAACTACATTAGATAAGCTTTATAATCCAGGTTATTTTCACCGATCTTAATCAGACTTTTATAAACATATCAAAATAAACAGTCCAACAAAAATACACTAATGTTTCAAGCATAAAAGTCCAATTACCAGTTTCTACAACCAACGTTGCCTTTTTGTATACTGCACTTACACAAAACTTTTATCAAATTATTCCAACTCGCTACTGCTTTCACCTGCTAATCTTCTAATATCCAAAACTCCGATAAGTTTATAAGCTTCTCATTTAATTTGACTTTACCATCCATAACAGTACAAAAAATGTAATAAGTTGTATCGTTCTTTTTTGACTTATACTTTACCTCGATCTACGATGAAAAACATCAACGCTGGCATCAGAAGTAAGGAGAGGAAGTGCCAAGAAAGAGAGTATAAAAGTCATAGACCTGCTGTAATTCTACTGCCAACTCTTGTCTGTATAATTTCTGCGCAGTTAAACGAAGAAGTAGCTAAACCAATAACTTTAAGCAAAGGCAAGACAACTTAGACTGTAAGACTGTCTATAAAGAGCTCTTGGTAGCTAAATCATTTTTTCACTTTGAAATTTTCCTGATTTTGCAGTAGTTAACTCTCAAAATTCTGTTAGAGCTCTTCTTTTCTTTTTTTTTTTTTCAGTGAAAGACAGCAAGAGAGAAAACTATTTATAATCAATTAGATCATTTCATTCTTAGCGTCAGCAATATATTATAGTACATCAAATTGAACAAACAATAGAATGTCACTAAAAAACAGTAAGCAATAAATGGTTACTTATATGATCAATTAATAAAGTTTGTGTAATACACAATTAGTTAACAGGAAGTATTGCGAAAATTGTTTATGCGTACAGCTCCAATATAACAAGTGAAGCAAAGGGTAGAAAGATAGACGAATTGGACGAGAAATATTTGGTTTATTTAAATTTTAATTTGAGATTCCTCAAAACTACTGTTTCTCTCATTCATTTATCAGTGTATATGTAGAAGAAACTACTGATGAAAGGTATAACACCCACTATCACTGCGGCCATATTATATCTTTTACAGAAAGCATTTAAGTTATTCTCTCAAAATCTGCACTAAGGTAAGAAGTATAAAATTCTTCCTCTTTTATCTAACTGCATGAAAGGTTTGTAACCAGAAAACTACAAGCAATATTTTATTGGCGTTTATAAGATTTACGCAGCAAGTTTCACTTTAAAGTAGCGTCAATGCAAGTCTTTAGCTTTTTTCTTTTGAAAAATTTAAACAACAGATTGACCATCACAATATGAACAATGTAACTAACTGATAGTCTCAATACAGTCTAGCAATGTAGCGGAAAAGGGAAAGATTTTTCGCAGAAGACCTAGTCTTATGAAGAAGGAGGAGGTGGAGAGGAGGGAAGGGGGGGAGAAGGAGGACCAGATGAGCCAGAGCCTTTTTTATCAGAGCCTTCTTTACCAGACCCTTCTTCACCGGGGCCTTCTTTA